GGACACTATTTGATGAAGCTACCAGCTCAGATGTCCACTCTTTGGTATAAGTTTCTAGGACCCAGAAGGAATAAAAACAACCCCAGACACTTTTCTAAGGAAGAAGAAATAAAGCTCTTACCAAAAATTAAACCAAGATTTTAACCAGAAAAAATTTCTATGCCTTAATATTATGTTTGTAGAGGGAAGCAGAGTGAGAAATCAACTTCATGCCAAACAGCACATAAGAACACTTAGAATATCTACTCTGAGTAGCTGCCAAGCTCATGCAAATCTTTTGTCAACAAGATTTTCTCCAAGTAGTAAACATAAAAGCTCTTCAGCTTAAAAAAAAAAAAAAAAAGTACAGAAACACTTAACGTATCCTATAGAAATAAATGCAATACTTTACTATTTGTCAAAATTAAAAATGCATGTACCTCTGAAGCCTTGGCAGTTCCATTCCCAATATTACACTCGCATACTTGCAAATGTGCAAAATAAACTACATACAAATACTGTTACTGCATCATTAGTTGTAACAGAAAAAAATCAGAACAAAACCAAATGCTCATCAAAAGGCAACAAGTTATATAAATTCGGTGTACCCTTAAAACAAACATTGTGTTCTGTTTTCACTTAAGTCATTAAAAGTGACACAACAGTCACAAAACAGCAAATATTACATGATTCTATTTATATGAAATGTCAAGAATATGCAAATCTATAGAGACAGTAGTTTAGTGGTTGCCAAAACCTGGGGAGACTGGAAAGAAATAGGGAATGAATGCTAATGGGTTTAGGATTTCTTTAAGGATAACAAAAATGTTGTAAAATTTACTGTGGTGAAGACTGAACGATTCTGTGACTATATTAAAACCACTGAATTGTACACTTTAAATGGGTGAATTGTATGGCATGTGAATTGTATTTCCACAAAGCTTTATTTTAAAAAGTGAAGCAGTTGGCTAAGCACAGTGGCTCATGCCTGTAATCCCAGCACTTTGGGAGGCCGAGGCGGGGGAATCACCTGAAGTCAGGAGTTCAAGACTAGCGTGGCCAACATGGTGAAACCCCGTCTCTACTAAAAATACAAAAATTAGACAGGTGTGGTGGTTCACGCCTGCAATCCCAGCTACTTGGGAGGCTGAGGCAGGAGAACTACTTGAACCCAGGAGGTAGAGGTTGCAGTAAGCCAAGATTGTGCCACTAAACTCCAGCCTGGGTGACAGATTGAGTATAGGTCTCAAAAAAAAAAATGAAAAGTAAAGCAGTTCTATATGGAATAACATAGAAATATCACCAAGGTATACTGTTTTATGAATAAAGGAAGACACAGAACACTGTGAACTACACAATATAATAATTTGTGTTTTTTCCTTTTTTTTTTTTTTTTTTTTTGAGACAGTCTTAAACGGTCCCCCAGGCGGTTGTGCAGTGGTGCAATCTCAGCTCACTGCAATCTCCATCTCCTGGGTTCAAGCCATTCTACTGCCTCAACCTCCCGAGTAGCTGGGACTACAGGCATGTGCCACCACGTCTAGCTAATTTTTTTTGTATTTTTAGTAGAGACAGGGTTTTACCATGTTGGCCAGGATGGTCTCCATCTCCTGACTTCGTGAACCACCCGCCTCAGCCTCCCAAAGTGCTGGGATTACAGGCGTGAGTCACCTCACCCGGCCTATAATTTGTGTTTTCTTACACACATGCCCAGCAAGCTTTATTGGCTTATATATGAAATACAAAAGAAATTATGTAGTAAACAACAGTTACTTTTAAGTAACTGAATGTCCAGAGGAGAAAAGACGTCCTTCACTCTATCCTCTTTTGTACTTTTGAATTTTGTACAATATGTATTATCTATCCAAAATACATATTTTTTAAAGTAATATAGCCACTATAGGTTCATTTTATCAAATACTGTTTCTAATATTCAACATTTTCCATCAGTAAGATTTACCATGATCAACAGTTTATTTTATATTTAAAGTAATGCCAAAGATTAGCAGCTATTAATCTTTAAAAACAGTCAACAGTATTGGGCAATGAATGGCAGCTTAATTTATTATTTTCCTTGTTCCTTGCTTTTCCTGTTCTAATTTGCTTTTAAGCTGTTTTCCTGCTAATTGGAAACTCCATTTGAAGGTGACCAGGAAACTGACATAAAAGGACACATATTTGTTAACTCTGATGTTTGTTAGTTCTGTTACAAGATCTGTTGAAGAATCTGGTTGAAATTACTATTTAAAATAAAGTTGGTAAATAATTCATAGAACTGATTTAATTCTACTATTTCAAGTTGCACTTTGCTTCTGACCAATGATGTATATTCATACTATCAAACCTGCTAAATATACATAAAGGCCATCCTATTAAATGACCACATTTTCAGCTACAGGTTTTTATCTGTAGTACAAATTGCACTGGAAATCCAAAATATATAAATATATATTATGCTCTATGAGGATTGTATGCTCAACAAAAAGGATAAGTGATAAATAAAACCACCACTTTAAAAAAAAAAAAAAAAAAGACTGCACTGGAAAGTAAGATCTTTAATAAAGGGACTACTACAACCACACTTCCGTAACAATCTTAAAACTTCCCTTAGTGTGCAAACTGGATTCCCACTATTTAGTCTACTGCCTTGACAATGACTCACTCTAATCTAGACAAAATTAAGCATTCCTTCCTTCTTCAACATTTCCGTAGCACCATATATGTACCTCTATTATATATTTATCAGATAGCATTGCAATTATTTGTTTACATGTCAGTTTTTTTCACTATAGTAGCTCCTTGTGCAGAAATATCTTATTCATTCTTGTAATTTGGGGAGCTAGCCCAGCCACTGCACGTAGGAGACATGCCAGAAAGTTGGCTGCATGTGTTATTGTTAGCCAAGAACACTCACATTTCCCCCAAACCATTCGGCTTTTAAATTATCATGAACGAAAATTAACCCTTCATTACCCACAGTATTCCAATCCTGAAAAGAGACGGAAGCAAACAGATGTAGTCCCAAACCACAAATAATTTATTCCACAGATGGTTCATCTAGGCTAACGCTAAAATCAATCAGCTTGCATAAAGCATACACAAATAGAAAACAGCGCTAAGACGACAATGCTGCTTTTGGAGTTTTTTTTTTCTCTCTCTCCCACCCCCAGAAAATAGATGTATCTGAACCACAGTCACTTATTAAATATTCATGGGTTTAGAATGTCTGAATGTACCTAGTCACTGTGTCAAAAAATAAATAAATTTTAAAAATGAATTGGGATAAAGATACAATATAGACCAAAAGGGCTAACAGGCCATTTTGGTAAATCCCTGATATCCACTGGCTCAGCTTCAGTGCCAAAGCAAACACCAACTGTAAGGTCCAAGCTGGAGCCATTAGTGACTGGAAAGGGAAAGGTGGCAAAGGCCTACTTCAGCCCTCCCTTCTTACAAACAACCAGCAAACCAGAAGAAAGTGCCTTTTCTTATATAGGTGATTAAGTACCTACAATATCTTAGGAAAAAGATTCCATGGCTAACTGGCAGAGGTATATAAAAACATTTGTAATTTGGGGAGCTAGCCCAGCCACTGCACGTAGGAGACATGCCAGAAAGTTGGCTGCATGTGTTATTGTTAGCCAAGAACACTCGCATATTTACTCAAAAACCACGTAAATATCTAATCAAAATTTCTAGCACACCAGCTAATTCGTGATAATGTATTTTTGAGTTTTAGCACCTTTTTACTACCCTCTTCATTAATCCAGGCAGTTTGATCAACTAGTAACCTGGCAAAATGCAAATAATAGAAAAGTAAAAATTAGGAAAATGGAAGGTTCAATATAGTTTAGACAGACCATAGCAGTAAAAGGAGAAAACTATCTAAAGCTTGTGTAATGGTATAAAGGAAATCTAAAAAGAAATTTTTTTTTTTTTATTTTTATAGAGACAGGGTCTCGCTCTGTCACCTAGGCTGGAATGCAATGGTATAATCACAGCTCATCACAACCTCCAACTCCTGGGCTCAAGCAATCCTCCTGCTTTAGCTTCCCAAGTAGCTGGGACTACAGGTGTGTACCACCATGCCCAGCTAATTTTTTTCTTCAGTACAGACAGCATCTTGCTATGTTGCTCAGGCTGATCTGGAACTCCTGGCCTCACAATACTCCTGCCTCAGCCTCCCATATAGCTGGGATTACAGGAATAAGCTATCACACCTGGCAGGACATTATTTTTAAGCTTCCATTAGATGGAAATCAAGACAAAGCTTTTAGTAACAGTTCTTCCATAAACTAGCTCTGTAACCTTAGGCAAGTCACTCTGAATCCCAGGTACAGTTTTCTAATCTACAAAAACGACTGGAAAAAATAATCTCTAAGACCCTCTCCACCTTAAGTTATTCCATTGGTACAAAATTTAAAATTAAAGACTCCTATGGTTTGGATGTTTGTCCCCTCCAAATCTCATGTTGAACTGTAATTCCCAATGTAGGAGGTGGGCCTGGTGGGAGGTATCTGTGTCATGGAGGAGGATCCCTCATGAATAGCTTGGTGCCCTCCACATGGTAAGGAATGAATTCTCACTGTTAGTTCACGCCAGAGCTGGTTGTTGAAAAGAGCCTCGCACCTCCTCTTTCTCTTGCTTCTGCTATCCTCATATGACTTGCCTGCTGCCTCTTTACCTTCTGACATGATTGAAAGAAACCTTCCTGGACCCCACCAGAAGCTGAGCAGATGCTGGCGTCATATTTGCACAGCCTGAACACCCGAGAGCCAAAGCCTCTTTTCTTTATGATTTACCTCAAGATAGTCTTTACAGCAACACCAACACGCTAACACAAAGACTTTATATATGATATGAGGTACAAGAAGTTTTTTTGAGTCCCCTAGCTCATTATTTGATTCTTTCACAATCATTTTACAAACTTTTCTACCCAGATGTCAATTACTAATGTTCCAAATAATGGCTTCGCTATAAAATGATAATCATAATAAAGTTACTTCAAAGTTTTCACTAACCTGGTGCAACTACATTCACTCTAATTTTCTTTCTTGCTACCTCTTTAGCAAGAGCACGCGAAAATCCAACTAATCCTCCTTTACTGGCACCATAAACAGACTGGCCAGAATTGCCTTTTAAGCCAACAATGCTTCCTAGGACAAAAAAAAAAAAGCAAATTAAATTCAATTGAGGTTACTTGAAAATTCATATAATTTATAGTAAATGAACAAAAAGGTACAACCCACTTCACCTTGTCCTTTGTTAAAATTATAAATTCTAACCATTGTCATCAGTCGTTTATCAAAGATTTAACAGTCCAGGTCTGCTCCAGACACATACAGAAAACAGCAGCTGAAAGCAGCTGATATAAAACTACCAATGCCAGGCAGGTGCTTGCAAATTGATCCATTATCTGAAAGGGACCCACTCTAACCTCTGAGTAGGTCATATATTATTAAAATTCTGTGGCATTTATAAAGGCTTCCAGCAGGTAGAGGTTAAAGCCAGAAAAAGTCAGACAAAAGCTGAGGCTGATTAATTTTATGATTCTACAACACAGACATAGGCAGAAAGTTCTCATTTTCATCTTAAAAACTAGTTCATTTGAAGACAAATCTCACTAAAATTGAATTATGTGCATATCTCATTGTTTTGCTGTATTGTGCTTTGCAGATTCTGCATTTTTTTAAATTTTTTTTTTAACAAATTGAAGGTTTGTAGCAACCCTGCATTAAGCAATTCTATTAGCACTTTTCCAACAGCATGGCTCACTGTGAGCAGTGCTCACTGTGTCTCTTTCTCTCATTTTGGTAATTTTCATACCATCTTAAACGTTTTCATTATTATATCTGTTATAGTGATCCATAGTCAGTAATTCTTGATGTTTACTGCTGTTGGGCTGCCACAAAGTATTACTGCTCATTGACAATGCATCTGGTCACCAAAGAGCTCTGATGGATATGTACAAGGGGATTAATGTTGTTTTTTGTGCCTGTTGATACAGTATCCTTTCTTCAGCTCATGGATCAAGGGGTAAAGTCTTATTTAAGAAACATTTTACAAGTCTATAGCAGTCAGAGTCATTCCTCTTACGAATCTGGGCAACGTAAACTGAAAACCTTCTGGAAAGGATTCACCATACTATTTGCCATTCAGAACATTTATGATTCATGGCAGGAGGTCGAAATATCAACATTAACAGAGTTTGAAGGAAGTTACTTCAGCCCTCATGGATGACTTTGCAGGGTTCAAGACGTTAGTGGAGCAGAATTGCAAATGGCGCCTGAAGATGTGACTGAATTTCTGCAATCTCATGATAAAACAAATGGGTGAGGAGTTGCTTCTTATGTGTGGATAAACAAAGTTGTTTCTCAAGGTGGAATCTACTCCCTGTGAAGATGTGAATACTGTTGAAATGACAAAGGATTTAGAATATCCTATAAACTTAGTTGATAAAGCAATAGCAGGGACTGAGAGGACTGGCTCCAATTCTTAAAGTTCTACTTGGATAAAATGGTATCACACAGCTACAGAGAAATCTTTCGGGAAATGAAGAGTCAATCAATGTGGGAAATGTTGTCTTAAGAAATTGCCACGGCCACCCAAACTTTCAGCAATGAAAACTATTATCAGTCAGCAGCCACCAACATCAAGGCAAGAACTTCCACCAGCAAAAAGATTATGACTTGCTGAAAGCTCAGATGATCATTAGCATTTTTTAGCAATGAAGTATTTTTTGGCAACAAAGTATTTACATTGTTTTTTAGACAAAATGCTACTGCATACTTAACAGACAGTATCTTTTACATGCACTGAGAAACTGAACAATTTGTGTGACTTACATTATTGAGCTATTTGCTTTATTCTGGTAGAGTAGAACCAAAGCTACAATAACTGTGAGATATGCTTGTACTGTCAATCTAAACTGCCAAAGCTTCAATTATAAACATTTTGTAAAAGTGCAATTTCATTATATTCAGCATAAGGAGAGCTGATGGGTTTTTAAAATATACCTTAAAAAGAATATTTTAGAGTTAAATAAATATACCTCAGGTTATCAGGTACAATTGTAAATTGTACTGTCCACAGAAGATTCTTGAGTGACCACATCTAATGAATATGTAGGGACATAGATGAATCTGGAAACCATCATTCTCAGCAAACTGACACAAGAACAGAAAAACACTGCATGTTCGCACTCATAGGTGGGTTTTGAACAATGAGAACATGTGGACACAGAGAGGGGAGCATCACACACTGAGGTCTGTGGGTGGGGTTTGGGGAGGGATAGTGGGAGGGAGGGATAACGTGGGGAGAAATGTCAAGTATAGGTGATGGGGGGATGGAGGCAGCAAACCACCTTGCCATGAAGGTACCTATGCAACAATCTTGCCTGATCTGCCCATGTACCCCAGAATCTAAAGTACAATAAAAAATAGTAATAATTTTTAATTCAAATACCAACTATATGCGAATAAATTCTTGCAAAACAGAAGTGAGGAAGTAATTTTCTGCACCACTGACCTGTACTTAGATATAAAAATTAATCAAGGACCTCATAAAAATTTTTTAAAGCAATTTTATTTTAGAAAAGGAAACATTCCAAACATTTCTCTATTATAATCAAGTTCAGTATTAAAATATTTATCTACATTATATATTGTCTGCCAACTAGTAAAAGAAGAGAACTGTGAAATACACAGAGAGAAAAAACATCAGACTGAGAAAATGTATATGGACAGAAAAAGTGGTGTTTATCAGAAAGGAAAATATAGAGACACACAAAAAATACATGCACACACAAAAAAAACACCAAATGGAGCTGGTGCGATGGCAGTGAGTTATCAGAACTTATTAACAATGGTGTCACTAAAGTTGGTATACAACCCTCCAGTGCTAAATATGACTGGCTTTTAAAAGAAAAAAAAGAAATACAAACAGAAACTTTAGCAGCTTTAACTCGTGCCACACACTACTATTCATCTGGTCAAAAAGAGGTAATTCCTGAAATATCAATGAAGCGTCTAGCAGTTTAAAGTAGTTCTTTCTGTAGCAAGATTCTCAATTTACTTTTCATTATTTACTTTTAGCTCAATTCTAAAAGTTTTGCATGCATAAGGAGAACTGATGGGTTTTTTAAATATACCTTTAAAAAGAATATTTTAGAGTTAAATAAATATACCTCAGGTTACCAGGTGACAGGTACAGGTCTGTTTGCCTGCTTATAAGAATCCAAAGTCCTTATCTGGCTGTGTTAAAATGCAAAGGTTGACTCACTGACTAATCTCTTTTATAAGAAAACAGATCCCTTAAATTTTTAAGGGTAAATGTCCAAAATGCTCTCATGTCCCCTTAGTTTGTTAGCATAGTATTCTTGCCTTTCTCATTTTCTAAACAGAAAAACCCTAAATCCTGGCTTGGAAAACCATTTCCTACATTTAAAAGAACAGGGTCATTTACTTTCATGGAGCAGCATCCTCCTTTCGTGGCCTTTTAAGGTATTACCATTTGAAAATAAAAAGCAGATGATATACTACCATGTCCAAATTACCAAACTGAAATAAAATTTCAAGCCATTTTGCATTTTAAGTTCTACAGGCATATACTCCACAGTTTATCTGCTCTGTAGGTTAGATGAACTGAAAACTAGGGGTTACTTACACTCATTCTTTTTTTTTTTCCATTTATTTTATTGCATTTTAGGTTTTGGGGTACATGTGAAGAACATGCAAGATTGTTGCATAGGTACACACGTGGTAGTGTGATTTGCTGCCTTCCTCCCCATCACCTACATCTGGCATCTCTCCCCTTGCTCTCTCTCCCCAACTCCCCACTCCCTGCTGTCCCTCCCCTATTTCCCCCCAACTGACCCCAGTGTGTAGTACTCCCCTCCCTGTGTCCATGTGTTCTCATTGTTCAACACTCGCCTATGAGTTAGAACATGTGGTGTTTGATCTTCTGCTCTTCTGTCAGTTTGCTGAGAATGATGGTTTCCAGGTTCATCCACATCCCTACAAACGACACAAACATCGTTTTTGATGGCTGCATGATATTCCATGGTGTATATGTGCCACATTTTCCCTGTCCAGTCTATCATCGATGGGCATTTGGGTTGGTTCCAGGTTTTGCTGTTGTAAACAGTGCTGCAATGAACATTCGTGTGCACGTGTCCTTATAGTAGAACGATTTATAATCCTTTGGATATATACCCAGTAATGGGATTGCTGGGTCAAATGGAAGTTCTATTTCTAGGTCCTTAAGGAATCGCCACACTGTCTTCCACAGTGTCTGAACTAATTTACACTCCCACCAACAGTGTAAAAGTGTTCCTATTTCTCCACAACCTCTCCAGCATCTGTTGTCTCCAGATTTTTTAATGATCGCCATTCTAACTGGCGTGAGATGGTATCTCAATGTAGTTTTGATTTGCATTTCTCTGATGACCAGTGATGATGAGCATTTTTTCATATGTTTGTTGGCCTCATGTATGTCTTCTTCTGTAAAGTATCTGTTCATATCCTTTGCCCACTTTGGAATGGGCTTGTTTTTTTCTTATAAATCTGTTTTAGTTCTTTGTAAATTCTGGATATCAGCCCTTTGTCAGATGGGTAAACTGCAAAAATTTTTTCCCATTCTGTTGGTTGCCGATTTGCTCTAATGACTGTTTCTTTTGCTATGCAGAAGCTGTGGAGTTTGATTAGGTCCCATTTGTCTATTTTGGCTTTTGTTGTCAATGCTTTTGGTGTTTTGGTCATGAAGTCCTTGCCTACACCTATGTCCCAAATGGTTTTGCCTAGATTTTCCTCTAGGGTTTTTATGGTGTTAGGTCTTCTCATGTTTACACTCATTCTGAAAAACAGAGAAATTTTATCCTCCTTTAAACCTCCACACAAGATTTAACAGTAACCCATGCAACTGCTGTACATGATATTACTTATTCCCCACTGTCTACTTTAATTCCTTGTCCATGTTTTAAAATTAGGTTTCTGGCTGGGAACGTGGCTCCCACCCATAATCCCAGACTTTGGGAGGATCACTTGAGTCCAGGAGCTAAAGACCAGCCTGGGCCACATAGTGAGACCTCATCTCTATTTAAAAAAAAAAAAGTTTCAAATAAAAATCAGGATGGTCCAATTTTTCTTGAAAAATCAAAACTGCTGGCAAAACTGGGACCACATTATAGAATCTAAGTGGTGGCCTCCACCATTCCACATGGGCTCTGGACAATGAAGCTGGATATCATTTATCGCATGGCTGCTCCTGTCATTCTTCTAGTACTTGGTGGTAGCACTCATTTAACACCTGCCTGACTCCTATAGAGATGTAAATGTGTGATTCCTATTTTACTAATCAATTAATTAAATCATTTTTTCCACAGATAATAGAAATTTCACCCAAGTTTCACAAGTGAATAAACTACAAATTAGTGCATTAAATATCTATCTGGTATTACGGGATAATTATAAATTCACAAAGGTGAAGACTCACCTACATTAACTATAGACCCTCCCTGTTGTTGAATCATAGTCCTCACGGCAGCTTTACAGGTCAGCATGGAACCCAAGAGGTTGGTATGAAGCTGAGATACCATATCTTCGGTTTTTGTTCTTACTAAAAGACTATCCCTACAAAAAGAAATAGTATACAACAGCATATAATAACAAGATAAAACAAACTAAAAAGGTCAAAACTAAGATAACGTTTCTACTGAAAGTAGGGTGCAAGAAGTGCTTCCTATCTGAGATAACTAGAATACCTACAGTCCCATTTTGAACTTGGTTTGAGATACATTAAATAACAATTGATAAACCAGAAAGGATGCACTTGGAAGACAGGTTCCTACCCCTCTCAGCTTGAGTGGCAAATATTCTTAGCCCCTAAAAGTATTACCATGTAGCCAAAATAGTTTGAATGACCTGAGCAACTGCCACACTAAGCCTTGTTTAGCAAGAAAATATGTTATTCTAAATATTATCTCCTAAATTCATTTTTTTAAAGTAATATCCACTCCATTATTCTATTAGTATTAAGTTCACAAACTGGCAAAACTTATATATGGTGACAAAATTAGAAAATAGTTACCTACAAGGAAGTATTATTAATTGAGAAGGCACTGCCTTCTGGAGCACTGGAAACATTCTACAGCTCAATATGGGTGATGATTACAATGTTAAAACCAATTAAACTGGACATTTAATATATGTTGTATCTCAATATAAAAGAAAAGAATTTGTGCCGGGCATGGTGGCTCATGCCTGGGAGGCAAGGCAGAAGGATCGCCTGAGGTCGGGAGTTCAAGACCAGCCTGATCAACATGGAGAAACCCCACCTCTACTAATAAAAATACAAAATTAACCGGACATGGTGGCCCATGCCTGTAGCCCCAGCTACTCAGGAGGCTGAGGCAGGAAAATTGCTTGAACCCAGTAGGCAGAGGATGCAGTGACCCGAGATGGCACCATTGCACTCCAGCCTGGGCAACAATAGCGAAACTCCATCACAAAAATAAATAAACAAAAAATAAATTTGCTGGGTGCAGTGGCTCATGCCTGCAATCCTTGCACTTTGGGAGACTGAGGCGGGCAGATCACAAGGTCAGGAAATCGAGACCATCCTGGCCAACATGGTGAAACCCTGTCTCTACTAAACTACAAAAAATTAGCTGGGTGTGGTGGCATGCATCTGTAGTCCCAGCACTCAGGAGGCTGAGGCAGGGGAATTGCTTGAACTTGGGAGGTGGAGGTTGCAGTGAGCCGAGATCCGCCACTGCATTCCCGCCTGGGAACAGAGCAAGACTCCATCTCAAAAAAAAATTATGGACTGACAAGTTTTAAAATACATAGTTTTTTCCCCCAGTTAGAAGTATAATAATATATTAACTTATACTAATCAGACATATTAGGAATAAAAGTTTTAAAAATATATATAAATTTACTTAAATCTGTGACCAACCTGTTAATACCAGCTGCATTTACCAAGAAATTTACTCGACCTAAGTGTTTCTCCATCTCTTCAAATGTATTTTGAACATCATGTTCTTTAGCAACATCACAGCTAAATGCCAAATGATCTCCTACACAACAAAGTTAAATAACAATTACTTATAAGTTATAACTCAAATTTTAAATTTACTCAATACACATGTGTTAAGCATCTAAGATGGTAGGCCCGTGCTAATCTAGAACCCAAAAATTTAAGTCATGTCATGAGGCCCAGCTTTCACAGAGTTGGCCTAATGAAACTGGGATGGGGGAGCAAGAGGAAATAAAGTACTATTACAGAAAGTTAATTTTAAAACTTTCTTTTTAATCAACACAGAGGGGAGGGCTTTTTCAAGTTATAAAGGCTCTGTCAGATTCATCTAATGATATTTCCAGTTTTAACACTGAACTCATGCTTCCCAATTCAACAGTCTTCTGGGTTTTATATTCCTTTTTTCAAATTTATATCTAATTGTCAGGTTTTCGTTGAATTAGTTTCTCTGGCCCTGAACAGGAACTCTAGTTTCTTCTTCTTTTTAAGAGCTACGGATACACTATGGCACATATAGCATAATGACTATTTTTCAAACCTCACCATCAGGAGACATGAGATAACACAGAAAGCTGTAAAAACACTAAAACTACAAACCATGGGAGGGGAACACTTTTTACAAAAACAACTGTTACTTACCACTTCTAAAAAATGGTTAAATGCCAAAAAACTACACTTCAAAGGAAACTAAAGCATTCCCTATGTAATAATCTACCATTTTAATACCCTAAAATGTAGAATTGTATTTAAGAGCCAAAAAAAATTGCTTTTCCGTTTGACCTTGACAAACATATCTACACTACATTACCCTATCAAGCCTTTGGAAACAGTAAGTGACCTGGGAAATTATACTTTCTAGATGAAAACCAATCACTCATGGAACATGATTCAAAGGAATGCAGGACCCAAAAGCATCCTGTGTCTCTCTCTCGGTTTTCACTTGAAGACTCACTGTTTTCACAACCACCTTTGAAAGCTCAACTAATGGCTTCAATCTAGTCCAGCAAACACTGATGGCTTGGGGTGACTCAGTAAGGGTCACCATTTTTCCCCTTTGTTGAATGGCAAGGAACATGAGCTTTAAGAAGCATTCACTGACACTCTCCCTGAGCTGTAACTTACAGGATTTTTTTTTTTAGAGATCCCAATATTCTCCCAATCAACAGTGAATAGGTGATACCAAACCAATCAGTAAGGTTAACTTAAAAACGAACAGCCACACCTGGCACCTATAGTCCCCCAGCTCCTTGGGAGGCTGAGGCGAGATCTATAGAGCCCAGTAAATCAGAAGTTGGAGTCCAGCCTGGGAAACATAATGAGAAGCCCTCTCAAAAATTAAATTAAATTAAATTAAAAACCCACACACAAAAACAGTAAGAGCCACAAGATGCACCCGCAGGCCTCTATTCTCCCCATGCCTCCCTGAGAGTAAATGAAGTTTTGTCCATTTTAGTAACTAAACAAATAGTATCTTCGGATCTTTCTGATGTCCTATTTCTCCCTAACCTCAAGGAAGAATTAAATTTACAAAATGACTAAACCATTATTAATAAGCCAGAAAAAAGAAAAAAAAAACCCTGAAGTTTAAACGCAATAAAAAAGAATTTCGGAGAACAAAGTTCAACTGTCCATTTGCAAAACTAACCACATTTGCTAACATAAAGTAAACAAGGCAAATGTCAACACTGGCTGGAACTCAGAAGGGTTTCTCTGAAACTGCTTTGTGCATTCGCACAGGCCCAGGCACTGCCCTCGGCAATACTGAGGGAGCCATTTACACCTGGCACTCCCCTCACCTGCCCGAACCCTTTTCCGCCCAGTTCTGCCTCCGGCGACAAGAATGCCCCCTTTCCCTAAATTCAAACTGTCCTGTGGCTCTCTCCCGCCAGACACCAAAACAGGGCAGCTCTTCACGTTGAGCACAAGCCGCAGGGCGGGGGATGCTTATTCGCGGGGCCGAGACTACGAGGTCTTAAAGAAAACCCTGAGTGCCCAGCCCTCCGCGCGGGCTGCGTGGCCGACGTTCTGGAGGCCCCGGGAGGTCGGGGTTTCTGCACGAGGCGCGTTCCATCCTTGGAACGGAGAGCGCCTGCGCACGGCTTATGGAGAAACCTCAGAGCCCGAAAGCCCAGGCCCGCTCGCTTTACAAAGCAGATTTTCTCTGGGCTCCTGGACCACGGCCATACAACTGGACAACTCCAGTTCGGTACCTACCGCCGAGGTCACCGGCGGCGGCTTTGGCCCCTTCCAGGTTTCTGGCAATGACCGCCAGTCGGTAGCCTTTCCGGGCCATTAACTGGGCCACGGCCCTGCCAATGCCTCGGGAGCCTCCGAAAACAGCACACACTTTGTCCATCTCGGACTCAAAAACTCGGAGGAGAGAGAGAAGGGAGTGGCGGCTCCTTTCCAGGTTCCACAGGCTTTTAAACAACCGCTGTTCCCAAAGAAAAAAAACAAAAGGCAAACTGCAAAGAAAAAACAGACCGCTCGACACCTCCTCCTGCGGCCGGACTCCGGCAATGCAGGAAGCCGCAGAGAAGGGGGAGGAGCCACGGCGGCGGCGCGTGACGTCATTACGCATTGACTCTTCCGCGGCGCGCGTAAAGAGCACGGCGGCGAGAGCTCCCCGCCGGCCGAAGAGTGGCCTGGAGGGGGTTTCGATGCATGCTGGGACCTGTAGTCTTGACGCAAGAAAGGAACTGGCGCAGGGGCGCTGTTTGGTGGGAAAAACACTTGTGGCACCGAGGGGAATTCTCTGGACCCGCTGGGTCCTCTCCGTCGGGATTGGAGCCCGCTGGGCTTTCCCTGGGAAACCAAGACGACTTGATCACGTAGTTAGAACCCAGAACAAGCACTCCGGGCTCCGGTGTGTGCCCTTCGCCTAGGTGTTGTTTTGGCTACAGACTTGATGTCTTGTTGAAGAAGTCCCCAAGTATCGCACCCACAGCAGAACCTACCCTACCTGTTCCTCCCCCAGGATGCTGCAGAAATGGACCTCTACCCGCCCAGATGTTAGCATTCACCGCGAAGTGTGGCGTGAAGGTGAACGCCCTGTCAAACATCCAGCCGGAGGTCAAGGAATTCTAATTGATTATTCTGAATAGTCTTTCAAGACCTACGAAACAAGCTTAGGCTGCTGTAGACAAACAAAAATGGGTTTCTGCAATTCTAAATAAGATGTACTGGGTGCTCTGAGAGTTAATAAACTAAAAAAAATCCATGTTTGTTACAATTATAGTGTAAAAAGAAAGCATTTCTCGATACAACATTATTTTACTAGATGATTCAGAGAAGTATGAACCACGGTCCCTACCACTAAAAAAAACTACAACCCAGAACTACAGGACTAATACACATGAAACACTAGGAGGTACCCAAAATCATACTTAGTAAAGTGCAAAATTATATTAACACAAGAGCTCTGAGAAAATGGAGACCAGGGAAGAATCAGAGAGACATGGAAAAGTTGGATTTGAGGGCTGGATGAGGTTTGAAAAAAGGAAAGTAAGAGCAGAAAGTCTATAAATAAGCAAGTTGAGCAATATTTTAAATTTTTTATTCTTATTTCATTTAGATCCGAAGAGGATTTGAAATGGTTTGCAAAAATTCATGTGTATTTGGTTTTAAAAGGCAAAGGGGACCACTGCCTCGTCTCCCACAAAGCCAGAACACTAAATTAGGTCAGTGGAAAAAGTACGAATAAAGTCATGCTATCAGAATTTACTTAGTATTAAAGAAGAGATCCATAAACCCAGAGTTTCCTGCCAGCCAAAGCAACAAAGGAAATATAATTACAAGAAGTAATTTCTGTAAGAAATAAGCATCCTAGTTATGCAGCAGAGAAGCCTGAGCAAAACCCCTCCTCGGAGGTCCTCCTAAATGGCACACAAAGCAGTGTAGTAGACAGTGTGCTTCATGGAAAGAAACAAAGATTGGAAGGCTGTTTTTATAGCATCTATTAGACTTTATTAAAAGCAAATACAATAGGAAGTTAAACATTAGCAGTCACACATAAGAAATGTGTCTTTGTATGTTTGAAACAATGAGGAAACAAGCCTGATTACAGGAAATTTGGGATGGTGCTATATTGTAGTCAGCTTTAAAGCCAGATGCCAAGCATTAAACAGGCCTTTAACTGCAGACGTAACAAGATTAGAGCTGCATTTAAGAACTGTTGGTGGTGGCTCCTGCCTGTAATCCCAGCACTTAATCCCTGCCTGTAATCTCAGCACTGCCGAGACAGGAGGGTTGCTTCAGTCCAGAAGTTCAAAACCAACCTGAGAAACGTGGCAAGATTCCCTTGATCTCTACAAAAAGTACAAAAAAAGTTAGCTGGGCATGGTGACCTACTTGTGGTCCCAGCTACTCGGGAGGCTGGGTTGGAAGGATGGTCAAGTTGGAAGCAAGGCCAGGAGTTCGAGGCTGTGGTGAGCCATGATTGCACCACTGCACTCCAGCCTGGGTGACAGAGCAGGACCCTGTCTCAAAATTTTTCAATTTTTCTAAACAAACAAAAAAACAGTTTCTCAGTGATGTAAAAATGGGTCTGATCAAATTTGTCTGTTCACTTTTCTACTATACACTATGTAATCTTGGAAAGCAAAACTGTTGTAGACAAATTACCAATATATGGGTCAGCCTAAATGCCAATTGTATTTCTGTACCTTAGGTCAAACCAGAGAGTTCATCTTTGTGAACAGTTCCCTCCATTTTAGGAAAAGGGTTATTTTTTTTCTACACATTGTTATTCTAGCCAAAAACATGGCTTTTAGATCTATGCCAAAGATCATTCACACACGGTGTGAGGTGGCGTTCAGAATTCTGAAAACCTTTTCTCACTGTATCCCTACAGTAAATGGATAAGTTGGGCTTTTTCTTCAACACATACCTCAGGTTAAACCCCAAGGTTATTATTTATTTTTTCCCCTCTTAATACAATATCACCACTGTCCTGGGTGAGAATACACCTGTCACAGCCCATCACCCATTAGCTTAGAGGTTACAGTGGGAAAGCTTCTCCGTAATGCCCTGATAGTGAAGTGAGGATCTGTAAATTAAACTGGGCCTCCCCTACCCAGCAGGACATTGAAGAAAGCCTTTAGAGCGACCCACCTTTAGTCCTTCCTTCTCACTAAACATGCCACTTCTGTGGTAATATATTAGCCATATTTTATACTTTAACTCACACCCACATAGGATATGTTTTCTCTTGGCTCCAATAATCAAAGGAGAAAAGTCCTTATAGATGAGGACTGTTATACAAATGTTTAAATATGCCTACTTTGTATTATTTTTCTGATTACAAAATGAATACCACTTAATTGCTAAAAGTTAGAAACCATAAACTTTTTAAAGTAAATAACTCATTAAAAGCATTGTACACTTTAAGCGAGTGAATTGTATGGTATGCAAATTATATTACAATGGACCTGTTCTTGAAAAAAATTTAACTGAAAGCCTATTGCCCTGTTATATGAAATTAGAATCTGCCACTAATTATGAGAGGGTTATACCTTTCTTGAATTTTGTTTAATACATCAAGATTTATAATGCACATGATTCCAAATATGCAGGAAATTTTATAAGAAATTTATAAATGATGATTGACTATTTATTGAGAATCCTCTTTACACAATGCACCATACTAAGCACATCCAGCTTATCAGATCCGTAATTGACGCATAACCCTTCCTGCCAGCAAGCAGTTTCCCAGGATTCTCCAGCCAGTGATGGTAATCTGCATGACCCGGACTGCACATGGCCAGCGTAGCTTCTCCATACAGACCATGCTCTTCTTTCAAGAAGAAAGATTAGAAAGCTGCCTCAGTGTGGCTGCCTAGATATAACATTTGTGATTAAAAAGCATGTTGATTTCCTCATTGGCATTCTTGTATCCAATCTAAATTGTAAGGAATATACTTTTTATCACTTATAAAAGCTTATTTCATTTTGAGTAAAAAAAAAAAAAAATGTGGCCCATGAGCTTGTTATTTTGTAGAGTGGGCGTTCATGCCTCTGAGGCTGCCCACCAAGACCTCAACCTGTCTAGCACTCGGTTGCCTAAGGCAGAAGCAAGGAGTTTATTCCTTCCCTCTTTCACACATTCCCCCATCCAATCAGTCACAAAGTCCTGCTGACCCTCCTCCCTAAATACCATTCTTACTTCTCACCGACCTTAAACTCCTTTGCCACATCATTGTTCAGACCCGGGGCCCTGAAAGACAAGTACAGAACAGCTGGTTCGCCATCCTTCAGATCCACCCCAACACCACCAGGGGACTCCTTTTAAAATACAAATCTGGCCGGGTGCAGTGGCTCACGCCTGTAATCCCAGCAGTTTGGGAGGCAGAGGCCGGTGGATCTCTTGAGGTCAGGGGTACAAGACCAGCCTGACCAACAAAGTGAAATCCTGTCTCTATTAAAAATACAAAAATAAGCCAGGTGTGGTGGCAGGCGCCTATAATCCCAGCCACTTGGGAGGCTGAGTCAGGAGAATCACTTTAATCTGGGAGGCAGAGGTTGCAGTGAGCCAAGATCGTGCCATTGCACTCCAGCTTGGGTGACAGAGTGAGGCTCCGTCTCAAAATTAATTACTTAAATAAAATAAAATAAAAATTGCTCACGCCTGTAATCCCAGCACTTTGGGAGGCCGAGGTGGGCAGATCACCTGAGGTCAGGAGATCGAGACAAGCCTGAACAACATGGTGAAACCCTGTCTCTACTACAAATCCAAAATTAGCCCAGCGTGGTGGCATGTGCCTATAATTTTAGCTAATTGGGAGGCTGAGGCAGGAGAATCAACTGAACCCAGGAGGCAGAGGTTGCGGTAAGCCTAGGTCACTCCACTGCACTCCAGCCTGGCAACAGAGCGAGACCCCGTCTCAGAAAAAAAGGGGGTGCCAGACAAAGTGGCTCACGCCTGTAATCCCAGCACTTGGGGAGGCCGAGGCGGGGGGATTATGAGGTCAGAAGATCAAGACCAGCCTCCCAACACGGTGAAACCCCATCTCTACAAAAAATTAGCTGGATGTGGTGGCCGACGCCTGTAATCCCAGCTGCTCGGGAGGCTGAGGTGGGAGAAGTGTTTGAATCCGGGAGTCGAAGGGTGACAAAGCGAGACTCGGTCTCAAAAAAAAAAAAAATGTGGCTCAAACATCTTTTGCAATGGAAGCCTCTCCTGACCCAAAGGAGGACATGCTGATGTCCTTCTTACCCGTCCTCTTACCTTTGTCTTCAAGTCTGTATTTCATGGAGTTACTGTGACCTCAGAATCCACATAATTTTAGGAAGACAGTGAATAGACTCTCGTGGATCTGTGAACCTAGCAAGCTCGTTACAAAGTCTCACGTGCTTTTTAGATGAGTAGTTCCTCGCAAGAGGATCTGTGAACCTAGCAAGCTGGATACAAAAATCTCATGTACTTTTAAGATGAGTAGTTCCTCGCAAGAGGGTCCACTTCCTTCACTGGGTTCCCAAGGGAAACTTTCACCTAAAATGCTTAAGTGTCCGGGGAAGTGGCTCACGCCTGTAATCCCAGCACTGCTGGAGGTGGAGGCGGGAGGATCTCCGGAGCCCAGGCATTTGAGACCAGCCTGGGCAACATGGTGAGACGCCATCTCTTTTAAAAAAACATTTTAAAATAAGATAAAATGGTTAACCACTTTATGTACTAAATTGCCAACTCTTTGAATCCAGAAATGATCAAATTGGTTTTGGTTTTCCTGTTTGTAGCACAGTTGTTAGGGCTTGTGAATGCTAAATAAATGAGTTAACAAATGAATAAGCGAGTGAATGAAATAACTCATTTAAAAAGAATTTATTGCTATAAGCAAGAACCAGTGTCGATACAGCTATGATTCAGATAGACCTGGTGCCTGTTTTCATTGGGAAAATAATCTGGCAAGGAAGAGAGACATTAAACAATGAATCATGCAATTACTATTTAATTCCAATGGTGGGAAGGCCTATAAAGGAGTAGCAAAGGCTGCTAGGAGGGAGCATAACTAGGGGCTTTGATCCAATGTGGGGCCTGGGGTCAGAGAAGGCTTCTTTCAGGACATAGTGTTCTATAAAGCAAATAATAACAAAGAAGATTTCAAAGAATGATAACTACAGTTACTATCCATTTGGTATGTTACAAGGCCAACTAGGTGATAACATAATTTATACATGAAGAATAAAAATCCGAATTAAAAATTCACTTTCAGTGATGAAAG